ATTCCAATACTTTACCTTACACACTAGGTGTGTGCGGAAAAGTAAAAAGTCCAACAAGTCTTTTAAATATTTCGTTTTCTTGTGTTTATCTGAAATTTAAGTGAAATTTAATTTTTTATTTTATTGTTCCACAAAAAAATGTATATTATGTTTCTATTTATGCGTATTTATGAGAGTCCAAGTAGCCTTTGTTTTGAAAATATAACTAACCTGACAACAACGTTTCACACTTGTGTACGATGAACTCAAAGTCAGTAAGGAGCTCATTAAAATTTTGGTACCAATTTGCTTTAGCTTTTATGCTTTGCACCAATGGATTCATGGTCGTATTGAAGGAACTTTCGTACACGGATTTCAATCGTTTCGACTTCTTTTGGTGCTCAAAGAAATTTTGATCAAAACGTTTGAGCCGTTCATGAATTATGACTGGTATCCGCTTCAGTTCATCAGGCCTGAAAAATATAAACACATTCGCATTAAATATTAATCAATTCATTAAATATTTTAAAGCAAAACAAACACTGGTCTTACGTGTCTTTTGACGATTCCATTGTGGTGCAATCTTTGCAACGCCAAATTTTGATGTTGGTCATATTTGTGGCCTCCACACAGTCAATGTGATATGTTCGTATGCAGGAAGAGCAGTTCAATGTTATTCCTCCTTCGTGACACTTCCAACAAAATTCACCTTGGCCATCCTGAAAAATGCCATTTGTTTAAAAAAAAAAATAATTTCATCTATTTATGCTGAAGTATTGCAACAGAATGAAGACAGCAATAGAACTATGTTCAGCTTAAAATATGAATCGTATTACATACCATATTTAGTTTGTTTTATTGAGTGGTTTTAGTGGGAAATCTCAAGTTATCACGTCACGATTAAACACTCTGCTGATGAAACTAATTTATATTCAGTAAACAATACAAGGAAAAATATCAATTTTTTGTCAAATTAGTACAAAACAACGCACACTTCAATATATTTAAAATGAATGTTTATATTGGTGGAAAAAAACGCTGAAAAATGTTCATTATGCAATCGGAACTGAAAGATTTTTTTTTGGAAAAAACACACTGAGAACTTAAAATTGAATTTTTGAGTGAATTTTGTAAAGCAATGTTTGTGAAAGCATCAACACAAATTAAAAGAGACGAAGAGAATTACATAGAATATCAAAAAATGACGAAATTCGACATAATATAATCCACAACTACAAAAAAAAGTCTTGAAACACACAGTCATGTGTAAACATTTAAGCTAGGGGACATTCGTAGCAATTCTAATAAGCTAGTTTTATTTACGTATTCGCTAATCGCTTACTAGTATTACTAGTGAGTACACTAGTGCTGTTAGTAGCTGCTAGTTTTTCTAGTGTTTTGAAATTACCTAGACGTATCGTATGATACATAAAAGAAACAACAGTAATGCTTAAGTCGCTTGTAAACGAACCAAGTGAATAGCGGAGACGCACGATAACGAAGTGAGTGTATTGCGGCAACGGATAACAACGTTCGTTGTCGCTATTCACTCACTTCGTTTTCGTGCGTCTCCGCTATTCACTTGGTTCGTTTGCAAGCGACTTACGCATGCTACAATATATTTTACATGCCTCAATTCATTTGCTTTGGACTATAATACGCTAGTGCTTGCTAGTCGCTGCTAGTTGCTGCTAGTTTCACTAGTTTTTCTAGTATGAATGTCCCCTAGCATTTAAGTAAAATGCAATTATGGAAGCATCGTAAGTACATGTGTGTGTGTGTGCTAAAATAGCCAGTATCGCACAATTGTGGCATTATCTTAGTATTCGTCACGTTAAAAGAACACACCGAAGAGCACAAGAGTGTGAGACAGCATGTATTGCTTCTATAGGTGTGAACTTTGTCGAATTCAACGACGTTCAACGAAATAAAATGTGAAGCAATGTAAGAAAAAATGTACACTTATACATATGTACGTATTTGCCAATCATTAGTGTGCGTTGGCTGCTTGGTAATATTACACACATACTGATTTTGAACACACCAGTTCTATATCTACTATAATTGAAGTGCGAGTAAGCAACTTAGCTATAAGAACAATAGCGCTACTCTTCGAACGCATGGACTTATTTGTGTGTATTTGGCAGTAGAGAATGCGATTTATATTTCACACATTCCAAAGTACTTACATTCAACTGAATTCTCTCTTTTTTTTAGAAAAATTGAATGCATTAGATTTGCTTGCTTAACATTTCACTGGAGGAAATTAAACTGAAGATCGAATTTATGTAACAATGACTCGTTTTCTCTACTTCAAAACGTTTCTTCATTTTTTATAATTAAATTTTCTAGCCGAGAGTTCTCTTTTAACAATGTTCAAATTGTGATCATTGGAATTTGTCAACTTTATTTGTTGTTTCGGACGCTCTCGTTTTTTTTTCTCACTTCGATAAAGTCGTCAATGAATCGAAACAAAAAATATAATCGCCGCTATGGCGACGATAACATGCAATATGAGATCAATAAACTCATACGAGAAAGGAGAGAGAGAGAAAAAAACGACACAGCTATCGCTCATTAGCATACATTTAAAACGAATCTAGAAAAATCAAGGTCAAGCAAAAATGAATGAAATCAAATCGAAGCGAAATAAAATGCGCTGACCGCTTAAATTGGATGTGTGTAAACCGAATCAAAATAGATTAAGTCAGTGTGTTACCTGTTCAAAAGAATAATTTTCGTCAAAACATCGACATGTGCGGCTTATCACGAACCACCACTCGTGCCACTGAATAAATTATATTCGCTATTTGTTCGTTTCGAAGATTTCTGTTAAAGCTTCATGAACATAGGTGCAACAACAACAACTAACCAAACAAACAAACAAGCGCTGTGATTCATAGCATAACACAGATAATGTGTTCATTTATTTTTTCTCCCGCATCGAATGCGAACAAAAGAACATACATAAAAAAAATTCTATTGTTCAACCGTATGATTCCTTCGTTGTTTTGCTATTACCGGCGTTGAAAGTAACACTCTTTCGACACTTTTCAAGAACATGCATATGCAAAAATGAAATTAATCGAAATAAAATGTTAAAATGGAAAGCATTCGTTCATTGTTCTGCTTTTGATGCATTGGCTTGATTGGACTCCAAAGCCATGTTACGCTTCAATGCTATTTATAGTATAAAATGAGATACACTGTCACCATCTCTCTTTGTCATCATGTTATGAGTTATGAAATGAAATCATAAAAAAGAGGAAAAAACTCGACGCCAAATTTCGACATTGATAAGCTCTTGCTCATTCGATTTTTCTGGGTGTTTTAGGAGCCAGGGAACACGAATCTAGCGTTTTTTCGATGTCCGAATGTATGTGCGTGGTACCCTGTACGCTGTACGCTGTACCCTGTACGCAAAAATTTGTTAACACGATAACTTTCAAACAAGAAAAGTAATTCAAAAGCTGACTTCACAGGATGATTGGGGGTGCCGAGGAATAGAAACCATTAGATTTTGAGCGACTTTGGTTGACAGAGTAAAGTGTCATGTCTGGTGTAATGCTCATGGCCATCCATGGGAAAAATTCAATTTTCCCCCCAAAAGTGATATTTAATGTATTCTTAAACACTCAAAAATATGCATTGGGCGGTTTTTGGGTACGAGAAAACCGAATATGACGCTAGTTTTGCGATACAAATATATTTCGACATACTTTTCATACAAAAATTTCAAAAAATTTGGATTTTTGTATGGAAGCCATGCCTGTATGATATCGTAATGAGCTGAAACTT